AGATGCAATGCAGTCAAGTTCTGCATTGCAGTCAGTTTTTCCCATAAGAAATAACTGAAAACAGATTAATCCATTCTCAGCCTCTAAGTTTTTACCCTAACCTTGCCTTTTTATACAAAACATCACACAGAAATTTCAAAGTAAATATGTCCAGAGTTAAATAATATCATTTAAATAAGAAACACAACATTAAAAAAGTGTTTCACAACTACAATCTGGCCCATACCTTGAAATTGATGAGCATCTGTAGAGAGAGTCATTGTTTGAAAACTTTTCTCGACACTTCATGTCAGAATCCGATTATGTCGAGTACTGAGGCGGTCAAATACCGGGGTTCTAGTACACATTTATTTCTCTAGTCAACCGGGAGTAACACACCCTGGTTTTGGCTAGTGCTTGCAGTGCAACTTGAACTTCTTCTCTCAGTATCGTTGATTCTTGCTCAAGTGCTACATCTTGAAATGGTTGAATATCAACCAGTTCTTTTTGGTACAGTGACTGTGTATTCTTTCCATCTTTTTTTGATGCTCCCAGCATTAGTCAATATTTTGCCTATAGTCTTTCAATATTGCAACTCAATTTTTTTCTGGAGTTCTTTCAATTTAAAATATGCTGAGGGAATATTACTTGCTATATGCTATGGGAATATTATTTGCAGAGAGAATATTATAAGCTACCTTAAGGAATATTATTTGTTAGGGAAATGGGTAAAGTAAACAAAAAATATACAATTTTAACCTACTTGAGAAGATCATCTTTTTTTTAAGAAGACAATCTTTTTAATACTTTAGATTACAAACAGTCATTTCCAAACAAGCACTTATACCAGTTGTAAAAATTGTATCTGTTTGTTTAAGTAGATCTGGAGAAATTCTAGTATTACTTTTCTAGTCTTTAAGGATATGAGTTTAATTGTAATAACTATGGCTTTATTGTCCTTAATTTAGACTTTTTACTAAATGATAGGCCATTCTACCTCCATTCATATACATCATTACATCTGAATTTTCACTCCTTGTGTTCATGGGCAATACAAAATACTAGTCCCTGTTCTTGTCTCTGAGGTGGGAGAGAGCAAAACCCTATGTCTTGCCTTGTGAGTCTACTCCTGGGAATACTCTGACAGCTTAAGAAAAAAGGGACATTAGTATTTGGTAAGACTCAGAAAGAAGCCAGTAGCATATGTAGATTTTTAAAAGTGACAATAAATAGCGATTCCCAATAATGTTGAGAAGTCAAGATCTGTAGAATCTACAAGAGTGAGTCCTCTAGGGATCATATTTGTTGGGTGTTGAATTAGATTTGAGTGTGTGTGTTTCTGTGTTCTGGGAATTCATTCACCTGAAGCCCAGAGTGAAACCTCATTAAGAAGCCTGAACTCTGGCGGATTTCATTCCCACCTCCTCTCCGCTCTGGGTGGATTAGAACTCTCTATAAGGTACAAGAGTTAGATGACTGGAGATTAAGTCAAAACAGAAGAGGTGCCAACTTCGGGAGGGAAGCTTCTTTGTAGTTCCCAGGTAGGTAAGGCAGTCATCTTAGGGGTAGTCTCACAAGTCCCTAGGGATTAGAAACTGAGAAATGGCAGTTCAATGTCCCACCATGCCAGCTGATTGCACTTGGCTCAATATGCCACTTGTTTTCTTGTTTCAGTTTCCCCCGGTGTCGGGTGGGAGAGTGTGCTGCTAACCAGAGATGAAACGCCCTTGAATGTCACAGAAACATCCAGCTCAGACATGACGATCCAGGTAAGTGATTCGTTCTCTAACTTGATTCTCAGTGTTGCAGCTCTGGACAGTGAGAATGTGGCCAAACAACTTATCTGCGGGCAAGAGGAGCACTGTCCCTCTAAGCTGCTCGTGTTCTCCATTCACGAAGGTCCTTCAGCATCGGGCTTAGGAAATAGCTTGAAAGTCAGAATCCAAGACTTAGCATTTCCAATGTAGGATCTTCTGTTGACATCTATCTGTAGGCCATTGGCAAGCTGTAACTCCCATGGGGATGGTGAAGCCAATCTGAAAATTCTGAACTGAAAATCCAGCCCCACTGTTCATTGTGCAGAAAGGTCAGAGAGGCATCGAGTAGCTTTGATCTTAACTCAAGATTTCCACTGATGTCAGCGGGAAGGCGGCACATGGCCCACTCCAGCTGGAATGCTCATGGCCAGAGATTTGCAAAAGGAATGGTCTGGGCATCAACCTGGTTGTCACGGTTCAAATTAAATGCATGAATTTGTAACTACCTCTTAGATGAAGGACTCTGTAGGAACAGTTACCAAAGATCCAACCATTCGCCATCCCAGACACAAAGGACCCCATCCATCTCTCTTGGCATTTAGTTTTTGTTTCCCTTAACAAAGACTGTGGGCGAGAGCTTGCAGTTATTCAAGTGTTTTTGCTGAAATAACTAGAGCTTAAATGGATGCTGCTTGCTCATGTAAGTGAAGTTTTCTTTGAAAAACAAAGAGTGACGTCCCTTTTTACCTTGTGATCGGACCGGAGATAGTCCACACCTGGCTTTGGAACGATTGTATGAAAGAGTCTATGGGATGTGGGTTTTTCAAGATTTCCTTTGTGAAGTGAAGGCTGAGTTTATGTCAGTTGTGTTACAAGTGTTAGAGAAAGGAAACACTCTGTTTGCATAGAGAAATGAAATGAAACGCAGGACAGTAACCTGATGAGACAAAGGTCAACTCATCGAACAGTCGCTTATCCGATGTGGAAAGTGTGTTTACTTATAGTTTTGCTTCACAGATTTTACTAGACAAGAATAAACATTGCAGCTAGATATTGGTGTTTTTTTGCCTCCTATGGCAAAGCTTGAAAGTTTCTGTCTCTGGCGCTATTGGATAGAAAAAATGGATGCTCAAGGTTAAGCTTATAGAGCCTTGGTAGTATAGTGGTTACACGTTAGGCTGTGAACCAGAAGGTCAGCAGTTTGAAACGACCAGCCACTCTGAGGGAGAAAGGTGAGGTATACTATTCTCATGAAAAGTTACAGTTAAAAAAAAAAAAAAGAAAAGAAAAGTTACAGTCTTCCAAACCCACAGGAGTAGTTCTACCCTGCCCTATAGGGTTGCTCTGAGTCTGCATGGACTCAATGGTGGCCGTGAGATAGTGCAGACAGATACTGAGATGATCAGAAAGGTTGGGGCTTGTTATGATAAAAGCAGTGGCATATTCTGACAGAAGCAAAACTCACTGCCATTGTTGAGTAAATCCCAACTCATAGTGATCCTATAGGACAGGGTAGAACTGCCCCCTGTGGCTTTCCGAGGCTGGGACTGTTTAAGTGAGTTGAAAGCTTCGTCTTTCTCTGAGGAGTGCCTGATAGTTTCAAACTGCTGACCTTGTGGCTAGCAGCCATAACGTGTAACCATTACACCACCAGGGCTCCTTAAAGCTAGTGCAAATCCCCTTAAAAGATTGCTCCTCACCCAGTTTACTCTTCCATGGTACCAGGACCTGACCGAAGTTGTCCATCCAGCTTGGATGCCATTCTCAATACCCCTCTTATCTCTTCTTTATAATAATACCTGAGGGTTGTTTGTTTGTTTGTTTAATAAGAACAGAAGGATTTTTAGTTAACTGAGCTTAGGACCCAGTACTACACACTCTACTAAATAAAGAAAATAGAAACATACCAACAAATGTGCAAGCATTCTCTTAATGCCATTTAATCCTCAGGAAAGAATTCGTGAGCCCTCTAGAGAGTGTGACGAAGAGTCGTGCGTGTTTGCATTTTCTTTGTTAGGTTTCTCAGTTATGTAGCAACTATAGGTTCCCCCCGCCCCCTTGAATACTGTCTTAGTCACTGTGTCTGCTGTCTGTCTGCATTCCTATGGTGGCTTTTCCCTGTGTGTACCTGTCTCTATGCTGCTTCTTTTGTAACCCAGAGTGATTAGGTTTAGGACCCACCAGACTCTGGTAGGATCTCATTAACAAACAAACGAAAGCCTCTGTTTTCAAATGGGGTCACATCCCCAGACCGGGAGTTAGGATACCTACACATGTCTTGGGAGTTACTTCAGTCTCTAACAGGTACCATGCTGTCCCCCGTTTCCACTGCTTTATCGTCACTGCATCCTTGATCCAAGTTAAAATGGGATTTCTTCTCCGTGTGTAAGTGTCTAATGTTATTGAATGACCTATACACCCCTTAGCATATATTTATCTATCAGGAGCTATATCTGTTTCTAATAGTTGCTTCACATATTCTTTTTCAATTTTAAAAAATAATATTTCATTGTAGTTTTGAAAGTTCATACCACAAATTAGGTTCCTATTTAATAATCCCAGCACTATTTGTTCTGTGACATTGGTTATATTTTACACAGTGGGTCAACTTTGTCATTCATTTTCATCCTAATTAAGTCATACATTCTTCCAATAGTGGTTATCTGGCCTTTCTTCTTTCTAATGGTCTCAGCCTTGCTCTCTGAAATATTGTGATGGGAAGGAATGTATGATAGCTGAGAATTCAGACGATAGCTGCCTCCCTATACCTTTGTTCTGCTTACACATTGATTACAATAAAACTTGATATATTGACACTTGCCGGGAGAAAACTCAGCAGAAATCATGACATAGTTTTGCTCCCCATAGTCTGCAGCACTTCTTGTGATAGATCTATCTTAGTTGTTAGACATTTTCTGCTGTTCAAGATGAAAAAAATATTCAAATTATAATTATCTGAATTATGTGTTGTAAGGGTACTACATCTAGCCTTTTAATACTGTGCTTTATTTTGAATTGAGAAAGTTTGCTCCTAAAAAATACAGATGATTCAGATGCGTAAATTCCTTCATCCATAAACTTATAAACTTCTGTCATCCTGAGGAACATTGCATGAAGAGCATTTATATTAAAAACACCCCCCAAACATGGTGCTGTAGGTAGGGACATCTGATGGTCCTTGTTCTGTTTTAGAGTACAAAAGAGACACACACACCCCCAACCTCAAATAGGATGTAAAGAATATGTTTCTGAAGTCTTCACAGGGACAAAAATACAGACAGACACATCCTGATCGGAGCAGTCAAACGGGCACTGGTGAATTCACAATCAGAACCTGCTTAAAGAAGCGTGGAACTAATGGATCTGTCAGACTTCATGGTTGGTATCAGATCAGTTAGTACATCACAGTTATAGGTGGGCCGACAGACATGGGAACGGGGCGGGGCCATGGTTGGGCCACATACATTATGTTAGATATATACATTATGTTAGATACTAGCTCTTACATGATGGGTCCAGGGCCTCCTGGCCTTTCAAAGAAGCCAGCGCTAGACTGATAGGGCATGAATCATGTTATGTGACTCCCTGAGCTGTTCCCAGAATGGTGATGCCCATCAAGGACACACCCAGGCCAGCTCCTAAAAGAGACGGTCCTTTCCTGAGCCAACTGGACGGGAGTGAGGTCATCTACTTTCCAAATGCATGACTTCCTTGGTTAGTGATTGAAGGAGCCCTGGTGTGGAAGGGCTCTGCGTTGGGCTGCTCACCGCACGGTCAACAGTTCAAAACCACCAACTACTCTGAGTGAGAAAGACAAGGCTGTCAACTGTCCTAAAGCGTTGCAGGGAGAAATGAAATGAAACGCAGGACAGTAACCTGA